CCTCGGCGCTCCCCGATGGACCACCGACTTCTTTTTTTTTTGTCGTGAATGGGGCGAAGGCAATTCCCCCCTGCAGTCTTTATTTCTTTTTGCTTTTCCCTTGCACATCTGGGAGAAGAAGAGTAATTACTTAAGAAACCTCGCTCGCGGCGCAGCGGCCCAGCTGGACCCTCCAGCTCGCTCACCTTCGCTTATTTCCACTCATTTCGGCTCAGCCCGGCCCGGCCGCCGGTGGTTCGGATCCGGATCAAGAGGTCCTCTCTTTACTACAATTTCCAGAAAGAGAAGACGTTCGGCCAGCGGCGCGGGCGCGGTCCATGTTAGCTGAGGCGGCAGTTTTATTTATTTCGCTAAGCTACAACGATGGCCGAACATCACGGCATTCGTCTCGCCGCCACATCCTGTTGTGATCGCCTTTTTGTTTTGTCACGATCGGCGAAGAGGAGCCCCGCCGAGAAACAGTGAGAGGGAAGAAAGGAAAGATCAAAAGCGAGGGAGAGAGAGAGAGTGAGAGAGAGAGAGCAGCGAGCAAATTAATGTGTTTTGATTTGTGGTAGTATACATACAATTTTTGAGCGGGACATATCTACTTGTACAAAAATGTAAGCTTTATTTTCCCTTATCATCAAATAATACTGAGTGGGCTGGGAATAAAATAAATTTCCCCGAAGTTGGCCGTTGTCTGTCTGTGCAGCACAGCGCACTGCACACGAAGTGCGTCGGGGCGATATCCTTTTCCTGGATCTGATGCGGCACCGCGCGGCGCGGCTCCGTCCGACTCCGGAAACGGATTGCACCTCCAATTCCGACGAATCACGACTGGAGAGCACCGCCCCGCGCCGCCTTCCCGCCCTGCGCGACGCTGTCGCTGTCCTGCCAACTGCTTAAAAAACACCATGCGGTTTTCAAGCACTAATTCTCTGCAGAAAAAGACTATAAATTACTAACATTTTTCATCGGAGCGGTTGGTGTAAATTTAATGACACTACTCAGGATTCAAAATTACATTGCAAGATGCCTCAGTTGGACAAAATGAAAAATTGTCCAGCAGGAGATAAGATAGGATATACCGGGTGTAGCTGTGAATACGCAGCCGTGTTGCGGGTTTGCCTACTCTTTACCCCGGTGAGGGGCCACAGCCCCTGGGGCCATATTGAGTATGCAATCCCGCAAACACTTCTGCGTATTGACAGTAACACCCCGGTACACATTTCTTAACAGTCTCATAATTTAAAATTGAATCTTGCGAGATGTGCACGCACAGACGCATCTGGCAAAGGACATATAACTTGTCACTTTACTTGTCCACTTGTCCCTTGCCATTTAGAGTGTAAAGGAAAGGAGCAAGCAATTTTTCGCTACAATCCCCTTTTATTTAGGCAACCGGCATCACTAAACAGTGCCCGTTTGAACGGTGGGCTGCGGTTCATGCCGGGCAGCGCGGGGCCGCCGCTGGCACCTGGCACCTGGCACCGCGCTGCCCTTTCCCACATCCGCGCGCGCGGCGAGTGGCGTCGCGTCCGTCGGGGTGTCGCGGGTTCGAGCCTCTCGTGGGCGCCGCCGCCCCGCCGCCGCGACGCCCACCGTCCGCACGCGCGGCACGGCCTTCTTGCGCGGGGGGAGCAGGCCAGGCCGGCCCGGTGCGCCACCTCATCTCGCCACGGGCCGTAATCAAATCGGGGCCATGAATATTCCGCAGCCACTTGGTCACGCACCTGGTCCATGAGGACGCCCCGGCAGACGCCTCAGATCGGCAGCAACGAGG